AAGCTCCCTTATTCTACCCAACAATTGAGGTGTGAGTGTGCCAATGACGCGCCCAATAGCGCCAGCATTTGGATAGCGTTCCTTCGAGTACAGGTACTTAGAGGGGGGTCTGACGATCCCTGTATCCTTCTCCAGAATGTAAGATCCGAACCCCAAGCTTGAGGTATCCATGCAAAGTGGTAGAGTCAGAAAGCCATGCACCTGAGGTGTTGTGGGAGGTTTCGGCCTTCTTTTTCCCATTGGCTTCCTTGCACTTTGCTGTTGGGTCATCTTCTTCGAGTATCCGAAGAGGGTGGCGCGTTTGGATGCAGCTTGGCACGAAATCATAACTTCGATTTTGGAGCGGGGTTGGGGATGCAAGGTTTAGGCCCGGGGACTGGCGCCCACTGAAATGGCTCTGAAAGTTCTTCCCCCCCGCAGCACTTATTAAATCGAGGATGCCAAACATAAACAGAGACCCATATTTAGATTTCAAGAAATTGTACACAACGGCCTCTTCATGCCAGCTTCTATCCTGTGCTGCTCGCTGTGAAGCAGTCATTAGAATTTGTAAGTATCAGGTAAAGAAGTAGGGCTTTGGGCTCCAGGCCTGACAACCATAATGTTGGACCCTGATTGGCGTGGGGTATTCGGCCAACTAAAAGGGGACCCTGTATATTAGAATGCCCAAAACACGTTGACGGTTGTGGGGGCTCCTTTCCGTCCGTCCGCTCGGCCTGGTATAAATAAGGGACGTGGGCTCCCATTTTGATCAATGAGGGAAATAGTTCAGCTTCGTTTCATAGGGAATGAGAATTGCAGGGTCCTCTGTAGCAGAGCCTGGCCTTTCCATCTATAGGCCTGGCCTTCAAAACCAATCCCGCAAAAAACCTCAGCCTTAGCATGAGTGGGCTCCCCAGAGCCATGTTCATTTTGGAGGTTCCAGAGTTCTGCTGGATTGCCCACTTTGGAATTTGATTGCCTAAGGGGTAAGAAAGCGTCGTTGGTTTCTACTGGCTTCACGTTGCAGATTCCGAAGCCTCAGGATCTTGAAGTGATACTGTTGATAGACCACCCTGGACCCATAAACAATTGAACTTCAAAGGACTGAAGGGGCTTAAGGTGGTACGAGACTTCCCCCAGGCTTTACGTTCAAAGGCCCTGCCTTCGAGACAGCTAGTTTTCCGGCCTCATCATTGCAATGACATTTTCCCACAAATTTTGTGGGCAGGCCAAACTTTCCTGACCAGGATATTGCACTACAACAAATCCAGGTTAGAGTAGCACAATCTGATTGCAGCCGCCCCAAAACAAAATTCTGGAACTCACGATACGTCTGAGTGGGCCTTCAAAGCCCCAAGATCCAGCATCCCCTAGAGCCCTGGGCCTCCTCCTAGCCTACTTGTCAGGTCAAGTTCATGCGAGCAACCGCCTTCCTCACTTTCCGCTTCCGGCCGGGCAAGGCAGGTTGTGTTTAAGACTTGAGGTTTGGTGTCTAAGCATTAAGGAGGTGGAGCGTTGATTTGCCCTCCATTTTCTTAGCCTCCGAATAAAGCACTTATAGCAGTTGGGGGGAGGCAGGGTTGAGGAATCCTTGTTCAACCTTTAGTACTGTTACGGTGGCGTTGCTTCAACCTGGGGTGTAGAGCATTCGGTGCCCGGTAGCTGCTGGCCACCGAACGCAGGAGTACTTTGCAGTGCTGTTTAGCGTCCGGGAGACGCTCATCGTGACGCGGTTGGATTCGGTTCGGGGCGGAGCAGGTTGCGCAGGGAAGGATGCCCTCCAGGATTTAGCATGTCAGGTAAGTACAGTTACTGGGGGTGAGAGCTTCAGCAAAAACACATTCCCTGCATGATAAACAGCATACCTCCGGCTGCGGCTTCACCCAAAACACATACTTGGCCGGCAAAGTTATTGGTCCTTCTTTCATTGGGAGAGTTGCAATGGCTAGTTCGGTGGTCAGAGCGTCCTGCTAATAAGAGCCAGCGCAAACTACAGAACAAGATACGCAAAATGGAGGAAAGGGCCATCAAATGAAAGGGTTGGTGAAAACTGATTAGCAGAGCCGATCTCTTGCAACAACTTACAAATGCAAGCACCCTTCAGGTCCCCTCTGGTAGACATCAGGTTTCGGAGGTCTGGACCCCAAAACCCCAACCAGAACCTAGGGGTTCAGTGTCCAGGACAGCAATGAATGAACGCTCGCTGCATGTTGCCGAAGAACAACACATGGTTTAGTTCGAAGTTGTCGGTTGCGCTGGTTCACAGCAGGGATGTAATTTTGTGTGTGTGCGTGTTTCTCGCTCAGCGGTGGAAATATCCTTTCATCAGTCCATTTCAGTGGCGCATGCGGAGGATCTGGTTCAAATGACAGCCTTCATGAGTATCGTTTGGCCAGGCTGAACACGTTCGACCTGAGTCAGAGCCCAACACATCTAAGGTGCTCAGTCCTCTCCTCTCAGCAGCATCTTCGTCGATAGTCTGCCTTACCATGCTTCTGCAGCTTGGATCCTGACCTACAAAGCTGCATTTTGAATTTGGGATCTTAGCATTTTCATCAACTTCAGCATGCTATGCCCGAGGGCGCCGCAAAAGCTACATGGTGGTGCACATTCAACTGCACGTTGCAAGCGCTGCATGAGGGAGCAAAGAGAGGGGACTTAGAGGGTGCATAGACATGTTACAACACTTGTGGAGCTGCTGCCATCATGAGTTTTGCAGAGTGAGACGCTATAAAGAGTAGCTGTTTGGCAGATGATCGCTGGGCGTGAAGGCTCCTGAAGTGTTTTGCTGTACGTCAGACCGACCAGGATGTGCCGTCAGAGCGGCGCGCGCATTATCACCCAAAACCCTGAGAGACGCTCATGCCGCGCTGTGAATACGCTCCACCTTGCACTGTGCTTCAGCATGCTCGGCTGCGTGAGTGTTAAAACCTGACCGCGCGTAGTACCGCATATCCCCATCGCTTTGAGCCCCGGAGCGTTCCACGAGGTATGCCAACTTGGTTCTGATTGCCCGCGAGAAGCCCTGGAGGCTTCCACAGGCCATCACTGCGAAAGCTTTTGGCTCATGATTTTGAAGCTTTACAGTGCGGCTTACCATTGCGATGAGGTTGAGGCTCCGTGATTTTGTGGCTTCGGGCTGTTTAGCCTGTTTAGAGGAAGGCGAGGATTTGAGACTGGGCGACTTAATTACTACTTGCCGCTGCTCAGAAGAGCCTGCGTGAGAGAGAGGGGTTTTGAGACATTGAAGCCAGCATACTACAGTACCCCAATGAGGGCTCCACTTACGGAAGATAATAGTAGAGGGCAGACAGCCGCTTAGTCTATACGTAGCATATAGTTCCTGCATCTATGTTCTGAGAAACCTTCCTACACTGCGTGTCCAAGGTCAACAGCCCCACAATTCACAAGGCCGATAAACCCTTTCGTGGTAAGCTTCGTCCGGTTAGTGTCTCCATGTTAATCAGCATGGCAGATGCATTCTGGGATGAAGCTGTCGAGAGATGATATAGGACTTGATGGCAACATGTGATTTTTGGTGTGGGGTTGTGTAGGGTTTAGGTTTTCGAGGGGTCAGAGTTTAGAAGCTGAAGCAAAGTGTTTCAGTGAATTCTTCTCAAGTACCCATGAAGGTACAGTTGCCAACAGTTGCCATCGCCCACTAGAAATCCTGCATTTCCAGAGCGGTTTGCTACTGTTTCTTTGTGGCCACTACGCCCTTCAGCCTCCTCCAATGGCAGACGGCAGGGTTTGCACATCAGGCCTTGCTCACAAGGCCCTCTGGGCCTTCTGCCTCTTTAGAATTTAAAGCCTGACGCTCCACAACTGCAATTTAGGGCTCCGCGTGGTTTCCGTCAAGAGCGTGCAAGAAATTTGGGCATACTGCGTGAGAAAACAATTGCTTGATCGCTCAGAGTTTCATTCTGGAATAACGAAGCCTGCTTTAGTACCGATTGATGGGCAAAGCTCGTTCACGCAGGTTTCCGATTTCCCTTTAAGCATACATCCGTTGGAAACCGCGCTGCCCCCAAATCCAACGATAATCATAAGATAGTCGAAGGTGTGTATAGGCAGGTGCCAAAAACTGATGAAGTATCGCTTGCCCTTATCTTGGAGTCTTGCAGCTTGAGCCAGTATGCACTAGAAGTCCCACACCTAGCCCTGCCGTACAAAGCAGAACATTTAGGAAGGGCATCTTCAAATAAACCTACGCGGGCCTCAGGAGCTGAATTTTGAGTGGTGCTTTCTAATGCAGAGGCCAACATCCTCAACATGATGGTCTTGACCTCCGTTCTAGCAATCCTCGACATGGGATCTTTCTTCGCGGACGTCACGGACCGGGCCTTGTAGGGTGTAGCTTTGTCACGAAAACTTCTTTACTGAGCGTCAGGTAGACTCTTATGAGGTCCAGTGTCTCGGTATCCAGCAGAATTCTCTGCTGAGAGGCTGCATTCCAGCGCTTGATGATGCTAGCTGCTTGATGGCTCTAGGGAGGTTTGTCCCTTCGCAAAACGAAGATTTTGATTATGTGTGGTGTTACACGTCAACTGAATGCCCAAGAAAAGGTCATGAGGCCTCATTAGCTTTGTCAGAGCATGGGTTTTTTGTCCTCTGATAGGCAGTTACAAGGCAGAAGCCTGGAAGCCCGTTATTGGAAGGGTGAGGACTTGACGCTTTGATCAGGCTGTAAAGTGTTGGCTCTGCTTACGCGTCCTCAATACTTGGCTTCTGATGTGCTTGCTCATGTATCTTGGGTACCAACACCTTGAGACAGAGCCGCTCAGAAACATCCGGTGCCAGGTTGAATTGAGCGCATCATTCTGTCGACGCCCCACTGTTAGGAAGAGTGGTAGGGCTATGCAGGATGAATGCGCTCTGCTAGTGACAGCAAGGGCAGTACTTCGGATTGTGCCAGGGACCGCCCGTCTGGACTGGTTTCGGCCCAAGGCGTAAGTCTGAACAGTGACCTAGATTCAAAGGTATTGCCTGGACCTGCGAAACGTGATCATCGGGGAAGCATGAGGCCTACAAGCATTTGTTTGCTCCTGGCCGTCTTTTACAGCTTCCGCAGTGCAGAGGCACAGACCGACCACGACGATCACGACGGCCATTCGCATGGCGATGAGGGTGGATCCTTTGAGTGGGCAGGCATCTTCGAAACACCGCTGAGCACCTATCTTTGGACAGCACAGAAGGTGGACGGTGCCTACGTTGATCCTGCAATGAAGTTGGTGGCTTTGCCAGCCACCACGTTGACCCAACAGGCCAGGCTGGCAAACCATTTACATTGGATTTCGCTCTTGCAGGCTTCTGGGGTTATGGGTTTTTCACATGTGGAAACCTGCTGTGGATCCCTGCGAGATACTCTAACTAGCACAGAAACAGTAACTGCGCTCACACGTATTGAAAGGTTTCTTCTGATCCCTTGCAAGCCAACAGGGCCTGCACGATATGGAGACGCAGGGAAAGGCAGCCATGGAGACGACTTGCACAGATGTCACATCTGGAGGCGCTACGATCAAGCATACAAACTCGGGTCAAGCCGCAAACCGCAATCATAGTTTTAATTTTATGGATGCTGATGCTCGTGATGCCGTTGCTGGTGCATCTGCTGCCGGTGGTCTTGGCGACGGCGGTGGTGGTGGCGGCGGGGTAGTTGTGCTGGCGCTGGCGCTGCTGCTGGGTTGCTGGTGTCTGGTGTGCTGTTGCTGGCGCTTATGGCGACGATGCTGCTGGTGCTGTGTACTAGTAGTACTAGTAGTACTAGTAGTACTAGTAGTAGTAGTAGTAGTAGTAGTAGTACCAGTAGTATAGTAGTAGTAGTAGTAGTAGTACCAGTAGTACCAGTAGTACTAGTAGTACTAGTAGTACTAGTAGTACTAGTAGTACTAGTAGTAGTAGTAGTAGTACTAGTAGTACTAGTACTAGTACTAGTAGTAGTAGTAGTAGTAGTAGTAGAAGTAGGAGTAGGGGCTTGTCGCGTATTTGACGGCGGTGTTTTCTGTGCATCAACACAATTTTTGCCGGCATCTTTGGCCTCAAAGGACGAAGTTTCAGTTGTCGCTGCCATTCGGCGTCGGCCGTTAAAATTAAATCAGAACTCTTCACACGCTTGGACTAATGGGCCGTACCCTGGACTAATGGGAACTAC